CATGTTCAGGCTCTGGTGCTACTGTAGTAGCAGTTGCAGGTGGCAGAGGTACAGGTGCAAGTGTAGCGGTAGATTTCTGCCGATTCGTGGACTGTGTGGGCTCTGGAGTAGACGTCAGGCCTGTGAGAGAGGGAAATTCGTCCTCTTTAAAGACTACATCACGACTGTTAATAGATTCATGAGTATTGATGTCCATTAGACGGTAGCCTTTCGTATGGTCAGGCACACCAAGATACATACACAAACGGGCTCTAGCGTCGAGTTTGTCTCGGTATTGCTCCGTGATGTGGACATATCCGCTGCATCCGAATACTTTGATGTACTGCATGGATGGAATACGGTTGTGCCAAAGCTCATACGGGGTTCGTCCATCCGTCTTGGAGCTAGGAGTCATATTGATGAGAGTGGTCACATGACAGACACACTCGGCCCATAACTGCTTCGGTAGCTTGCCGTCAAGTAGAAGGGCTCGGACACGCTCCATAATGGTACGCATGCGGCGTTCTGCAACTTCGTTTTGCTGAGGTGTGTATGCATTGGTAAACTGGGCGTGAGCTCCATACTTTTTAAATATGATGCGGCCAAGCTTCTCGTACTCTTTAGCGTTGTCTGCTTGAAGCCGCTGAATCTCAAAGTTACCCTGGTTTGCATTGTCTTCAACACTGAACGCGTACTCTATGACAGATATATCTTGTCTGAAAATATTCAGGGCTTTCTTCCTGAAGTCTTCGTAACAGCCATACAACTCGCTACGGTTCTTAATTGCATAAGTGAACATGAATCGAGAAAAGTCATCGATGACGATCAAGAAGTAGCGACAACCAGTAAGGCTAGGCACAGGTAGTGGACCACAGATATCTGAATGGACTTTTGACAAAGGTGATGTAGCACGTTTAACAACTCTATTAGAGTAAAATGGGGAGCGGTGTGACTTCGCTAACGTGCAGGCAACACAAAAGAAATCTGTCTTTGGACCTAGAGGTATAGATCCATCGAGTCCATGTATGGCCTGACTCCTAGATAGGTCATTCAAGACACGAACGTTAGGGTGTCCAAGGCGTTTATGTAAGAGCAGAAAGGAACGTTGCTTACCTGAGGCAATAAGAGCCGCTGGAGGTGCCGCTGGTTTGGCTTGGAACTGATACAGATCCGTGTTGGTAGCCATGAGCGCTTTGATCTTGAAGCGCTGGTCAGTTTGCATAGCGCACTGTTTGCGGTCAAAGTTGAAGCGAAAGTCGTGCTTAACAGCTGCTGGAATTGAAAGCAAACTGAATTGGAGCTGGGGAGCATACAGGACGCCATGAAGGATAAGCTTCTGCATAGTGCCCTTGGAGTCAGTGACTTCCAGATCGACCCGTCCCATGCCTTCGATGGGGATTTGGTTATTACCACCAACCGTAATGGATCCACCACTGGAGGTGATGTCGGTAAACCACTGAGACTCATGGGTGACGTGTCGAGTGCAGCCAGAGTCGATTGTCCAGGTGGGATCGGGTTCTATCTTGGCTTGAGCAGTGAGGCTAAACGGGAGATTGACTGTGCTAGCAACAGCGATGAGACCGGTGTCACGACGTCCTTGGCGAGTTACCTTGCGGTTGTTTCCAGAATTACTGTCGTCGTCATCGTCATTGTCTGACTCAAATGGGCGGTCCTTGTAGCGATCTTGACCGCGTTGTTTGCCGCCATTTCCGTGCTTGTTCTTGCTACTACTGTTGTTGCCCTTGAAGTCGCGGTTGTTATTTTTCTTGCCGTGTCGCCCATTGCCACCTTTGTTCGAGTTCTGGTACGGGTGATCGCGTTTCGAGTTACCCTTGAAGGCGAAGTTAGCAGGTAGCACTGTCCCAGCCTTCACTCGTCCATCTCGCAAATCCTTTTGAAGGCCTCGGCATTGGCGAATGTTGTGGCGTGGGTGATCACAGTAGGAACAGACATTGGCGCTGTCACGGCCTTGGGCTTGTGACACAGGAGGTCCGGTAGCCACTAGAGCTCTCTCACCCTTGGTTGCAGAGGACTCTGGTGTGCCCTTGGCCAAGGTGTAGCGCTCTTGAGCTTGAAGATCGCGAACCTTGCCTTCAATGCTCTGCTTGAGGTCTTCATACGGGATATACTTCCGCTGGCCCTTCCAGATGCGGAGATCGTCCTTCCACGACTTGGGCATCGAGTGGAACAGGTAGATAGACTTCTGTCCCTCGGTCATCACCGATTCGGTGGCTACTGACGCGGCTTTCATCGCGTTCTCAAGCTTGAGAAAGAACTCAGTTAAGTCGGAGCCTTCTTCATACTTGATCTCCATCAAGTAGTGTTGAATGAAGTACGGATCACCATGAAAGGCTGCTCCCTCGTACTTCTGGCAGATGTAGCTGAAAATCTCGAAGGATGTCGTGAGATTCTTGACGAGCCGCACGTGCATGTTGTCCATCGTTTTCATCAAGAAGGCTTTGGTCTTGGCTTCTTGTAGACGGCGTTCGCGCTGGCTAAGAGGCTGGCTCTTCTCTTTCTTGGCGCGTTTGCGTGCACGGCGAGCCTCGCGATGGCTAAATGGTCGAACTACCGGGAGGTCCTTCCTCTTGATTGACGTATCGGAGCTGGCTCCAGAGTCTTCGTCCGAGTCCGAGGGCGGCTTGAGCTCGTCGTCACTCTCGTCGTAGTCCACAGCGTCGGAGTCGATTTCGACGTTCTTGGTACTTTTGGCATGCGGTTCATCGTTGGCATCAGACATTTCGCTGCCACTGTCTTCACTCTCGTCTTCCGACACACCGTCGTAGTCGGGCTGCTTCACGTAGCCGAGTAGGTGCTTGCCATCTAGTGCTGCGCACACACGGGTCTTCCAGACGTCGAAATTCTCAGCGCCGATGAGACGTGGGAAGTCGTCGCTTGAGGCTTGGCTTGGGCTCATAACCTATAACTCGTATGACAGGTCGAGAAGAAGTAGGGAGAGGAAGAAGACGTTACTTGTAGGCGTCAAAAGACGAAGTGAGTACTTTATTAGTATTAGGAGGCCACCAATAGCTGTACACCAGCCATTAGTGTCTGTATAGCTTAAGCCAGTCATACCGACTTAAACAGGACCTCCTAAATCTCATTATAATATTTTGGAGTGACTAAGGTCAAGGTAATCAAACTGTTTAGAGGCTACTTCAACAAGCGTGAAGCCAAAGAATTATCTAGTGCGAGACACTACCATAAACAGCGACATCTGAGGAGAAAGGAAGGCAACGAAGAGCAACAGCTGAAATGTGAAGGGATATGTGAGCAGAGAAATTTTTGCAGAAGTAAGGTTGGTGTACATCAGATACTTGGAGGATGAATAGTACAGGCTGGAAGTGCAAGTTGTGTATCAGTAAGCGGGACTGTTGTTGTTTAGTGTGAGAATAAAAGGGACACAAGAGAAAGATCGGATCGAGAATGCTCAGTCAAGAATTTGTGTAGACCCAGCGCCTAAGTGTGGATTGTGCAGTCTAGTGTGTGTTGTGGAGCTACATCAACATGCATCCTAGTCTGCATGTATAAGTCTGAGTGATCTGACAGTAATCTGTCTGTTTGAGAGTTTTCTACCAAACCCACTTCTCATTTTGCACTTACTTAATTGATGCATCCAGTTATCTCTTTTTTCGCTGCTTGGCCGGGCTATTGAGTCATGGACTCAGCAATCCACAAAAGGATGACGAGCCACAGCTGCGTTTGATTGGTCCACGTGCTCGAAAGAACAAAATTTTATTCAATTAGGATCAGTGCAACAGTTCTATAAAATGAGGTATGCTGCCCCTTTTACATACCCACCATTAAATGGTGTGCCTGCTTCTGTGTGCTATATAGTGGATTTAAAAGCAGCCATGAATACCTCATCATGGTGGCTTGCGAGCGTATTAGCTCCGTGGACCAGCCGTATCAGAAGAATTGCTGCCTTCTGTCTTGATATCGAAGGAAAACGTAGCGAATATCTACCGGCCTTCAATTTTCAGATTTTAAATTGAAATCGCTCCATATAGCCCGTAAGCGTAGAAAGCATTCTGAACTAATCACAATGATAGAGGCTTGACAGATGTAAGGGACACTTGGTTTTTGCCATTAAACCAGATAAGACCAATTCTTGTTGGGCATACTTTGAGTTTTTTTTAAATTTCAGCAAGAAGAAGTGTTATTTACGTTCTTTGATTTGCGAGAATTCTTTCAAGCTGTGGATTATACCGGTATGCATATTATGTGAGCTTCGGCATTCGCTTTTAATAACCATCAAATTAATTTTGAGCGAAAGTTCGTTAAAAAATTAATCATCAGCTGAGGTTTTGTGATTTTTTCCAAAACAAACCCTTAAAAAACTGCATCACCCCATCGCCCTCGTTGCATATGACCACAATCTAAGAGCCTTTTAAGGGTTTAGGGCATGCTTTGATGTTAAACTACGCGAAGTATCCCGAGGTATTTGCTTAAGTATGCTCAAGCAGTCAAATCTTTAAATCGCAAGCGAGGCGAAAGTCAATACGCTGAAGATGCTGCACGGCCACTTACAGTTAGCTTGGTTCAGAAATTCACACCACCTCATCCAAACTACTGTGAGTTAGCGAGTACGTGCGTTCGTACATGTGTGTGTGAGTGAGAGAGAGACAGAGAGACAGAGAGAGGCAGGAAGGGGGGGGAGTACCAGTCGCGTCAGCTGAAACCAGGTCACGACGTTTGCCGAAAGATTCCCGTATCAAATTTATGAGGTAGTGGTGCCCTTTTTGTGTACCCTCGCCACTTAAAAATTTGACAACATTCAAGCTTAAATACCTCAAATAAGCCCCTAATCCTGAGCAATTGTCACCTTTGCGAAACCAACGAAAGGCTCACGGAAGAGAGAGGCAAGGTAGGTTTTTATCCATGCATATCATCGCCTACAGGCCGTGATCCATGGCAAATAGTAGCTTTGCAACTTCATTCGAGTCTTGTGTTAGTTTTCATGCAGTCAGCACTCGTTAATATGCTCTGGTTCTGACGTAATGTACTGATTCCCACAGCTAATGCCGAGTCCGCCCAGCTCTGTTATCGTCGTCGACGACTCGAGCGACGAGGAGCCAGCGCCCGCCAGTGGCAGACAGAGCGCTCCATTGCTTGTGAGCTCGTCCGATGAATCCAAAACCTCTCGCTCCAGTCTTCCAAAGAAGGCGCGTGTGTCATCGCCTAAGGTCTCCCATTCTAGCACTGTGGCCAGCTCTCCAAAGGTTATGAGCTCCACCCATAACAGTGAGTCCGAGGAGGAGCAACCGTCTTCTAATGACCAAGACGAAGACGATACCAGTGATCAGTCAGCGTCTCTTAACGACAAGAAAGAGAAAAATAGTACTGCTGGCCATTTTAATGGAACGACGGACTCTGATAATGATACAAGTGGGGAGACGACGCAGTTAAGGTTCGCTGATACTGACGGACGCATGTTTGCGGACGCCATGTCGTTCAGCGAGCTGCAGGCCCAGCAACGGGAGTTCGAGAGGCTACAGACGATGGCCCATCGCAAGTCGGCGCCTCGCAACACTACACGTCGACCGACTACAGGCACTAAACGCAAGGCAAGTGAAGCAGCTTCGAAGAAGAACAGCTCTCCAGTGTCTCGAACTAAAAGCTCCGTGCTGAAGAAGACCGCGTCTCCGTCTCCCTTTGACTTTGACTTTCCCGGTTCAAGTGACGACTCATCCGAGTCTTCATCGTCCACGGACGAGAACCGCGCAGGTTTCTTGAGTCCCCGAAGTAAGTCGATGTCTCTTAAAGACGTAGTGGCGCAGGAGCGGGAGTTGGCACGTCTACGTGACGAGAAATCGAAAAAGAAGGAACGAGCTGCGCCTCCCAAGAAGAAGAAGAAGAAGGTGACAGCCAAACTAGCAGCGAAGCAACCGACGTCCAAGTCGTCAAAGGCGTCAGCGCAAACTTTGTCGGTCTTTTTCTCGAAATCCCAGAGCAAAAATAACGTTATCGACGGCACTGCGTGGTCTGAGTCGGAGATAAGTGACGATGGCAAGGTTAACGACAAGAAATCGAAAGCGTGGTACGAGCTCGAGCCATTGCTGGACGAGGAAGTTAGCGACGAAGAGTATAGACCCAGCAAGCCCAAGACGTCGACTGCAGCTTGTTCGAATGAGCAACAAGGGAAGAATAGCAAGACAAACAAGGCGAAGAAGCCTTCCAAGTCAAAAGCCAAGAAACCAGACAACAAGTCACGACCTTCGTCTGCAGTGCAGAGTCCTCAGCCTGCACAACCTGGAGTTGTTTCGGACACACTGGCACGCTTTAGAAATGCGCGGGACACGGTGATGCACAGTACCGTGTGGCGCAACGTGTGTTTCGACACGGCGCCGACGAATTTGCTGCCTCTGGATGCGACTGTGGCACTCCCGTTTTACTCGGAGTATGACCAACCGCTGTTGACCTACGGTAAGTGGTAGATGGACGACACTGCGTGTTATTTATTGCTTGTATCTAACGTAATGGTGTCTTGTGTCGTAGATGTGGACGGTGACTTGAGGAGCAAGTGCAAGCTGCTGCCACAATTCGGGAAATCCGCGCAGTTTATTTCAGCTGCGCTAGTGGCCGATGAGCCCGAGTTAACCGCCACACAAGAAGACATGGATACCCGCGTGACAGACGTCATCCAGCGTGAATTGCCCCGACTTCGAGCGTGTCATCAGAGGAAAACGACGGCGCTTCTAACCGAATCGAGATCGAAAGTTCGAGCGTATCTCGCGGCACAGGAGACGCTTCAGAAACAGCGACTGGCGTCCCATCGTACGTTGTGCTTCTGGAGCTATGTGGACGTTCGTGAGGTGACTAAACTCTGCTCTTGTTTTTTTTTGCTATGTGAACGTAGCGGAAAGCAAGCGTCTGGGTGCTGTGGATGTACTGGACAAATCTCTATTGAACCAAATGAAGCAGGAAAAGCTGACACAGCAGTTGTCGTTGGGGTACGCGAACATCTGGGGCGAGACACTAGGCGTCGAGGAGAAACTCTATCCCCAAGACGTCAACCAGCTGCCTATTATTCGGCCACTTAGTAGATGTACAGCATATATCGGCATACAGGCCAATGTCCGCGTGGAAGACGACCCGATTTTGCGATACAAGCCGTACTTTGGTGAAGATGACGACGGTGCAGACATCGATGAGGCGTGGTACGATGCCGTCGCGCCCAAGAACTCCAGTCTCTCGACCGGTCTGGATGGCGAAGTGAATGAGTTTATGTTGCGTCTTGTAGTGCGGGAGTGCGGCCCGACGGAGAACGTGTTTAACGCGCTGAAAAAATTGTCTGGCTTTGCGCAAGCGTACTCCGACTACGCGGAGATCAAGAAGTTGGACGATTCGACTCGACTTGCTGCACGGCGTATCAAGGAGGCGAAGGATCTGATCGCGAGTAAGCCCGCGGAGTTCCCGTTGACAAAGGTTGCAGTCTTGGAGCCGGCACTTGGACGCAGTGGCGAGTCGCAGCAGACGCTGGAGGAGAGATTAGCACCGCCACTGACGTATTTTGACTCGAATCTGGCAAGGAATCACGCCAATCGGAGCTATGGGATGGGTTTGCGTTCGACTGGCGAGTATTCCGAGCTGCTGGTCACGTATCGCGACATGTTCTGTCGGATGTGCTACGATTATCACTGTCTTGAGCACGGTATCGAGCACCCGCTTCCGGCTCATCGAGTTGATCCTGTCAACCCGCCACTTCATCTGTCAGCTGTAGCACTGGCTGCTACTAGGAAGAAAGAGCTGGAGGACAACGTGGAAAAAGAGCAGGGCGAGAGTGTGGATCCGTCTAGCCACAGCCCAGATAGTTGTGCGTCCACTGTGAGCCCTCCACCGAGTGCAGACGCCAATTGCTCAGCTGAAGACAACGTCAAAAGCGACGATACCCACGACGATGTGCAGACGGACGAAGACGTTGCTATGGAGAATGGAACCACCTACGAGACTGCCACGGACGAGGACGTGGCACTTACCGGAGACTCGCTTGAAACACGCCGATCTACTCGTGCTGCGACGAGGAACAGCACGTTAGCCAGTCGGAGCTTGACAAAGCAAGCTGCGAGGCCATCGAAAAGGAAACAATCTCGTCCCCAGCGCGTGCAGATTTACCCTGAGGTGGCGGATGCGTCCGAGTACCTGGACGATTCTCACTATGCTCAGGTGACTGCCATTGTCAAGAAGTCGCTGAAAGATGATGAGAAATGCTCGAGTGAATGCTGGAAAGCTGAACAATTGAGCCTCGTTTCTGACGACTTGAAGACTGCCGCCAACGCATTAAGTGACACTGAACTGGTTCTACTTCGCAAGCTTCGTACTATCATCGGTGACAACCCGTGCATCATTGCGTCGATGGTCAAGTCGACGACGTGTAAGGAAGTCGGAGCGTTCTTGGGATCCGAGCGACAGAGCAAACCTATTCGCACCAGCTCAATGGACGACATGCCGCTCTCGCCTGATGGCCGTTCGATTCACAATGGCCGTAAGCGTGGACGAGCGAGGAACTCGCGGAGTAGTAACAACCGTATCCTGCTTAACCGAACCAGAAACAACCGCTTGAAGGACAAGGGAGCGAACCACGAGTACGAGCCATGCAACCACGAAGGCGCATGCGATTCGAATGACTGCTCGTGCATGACTCGAGACCACACGTGCGACAAAGCGTGCTCGTGCTCTCGTGACTGTCCCAACAGGTTCGTGTACTCGAATACTCTTGGAAATATCTGTAACAACTGCTAATTGGTGACGTGTTTAGGTTCCCCGGTTGCAAGTGCAGTCTCGGTAATTGCCGAACCAAGGCGTGTCCGTGTTTCATCGCTGCACGCGAGTGCAATCCCGACTTGTGTACCACTTGTGGCGCTAGCGAAGTGCCTGCGTTGGGTTTCGATGAGGAGCGCAGGAACATGTCTGCACTGGACTTAGGTATCTGCTGTAACGTGAATATCTTGCGTGGTCAGCACAAGAAAATTGGCGTGGCGTACTCTACCACGCACGGATGGGGAGCGTTTGCCATGGAACCGATCAAGCGTGGCGAGTTCATCTACGAATACCACGGCTCGCTTCTTTCCCAGGACGAAGCGGAACGACGTGGAAGTATCTACGACAAGATGACTATCAGCTTTTTGTTCGATGTGGACGACGACTCGGTCGTCGACGCTATTCGCAAGGGCAATAAGAGCAAGTTTGCGAACCACTCGGCAGTATACAAAAAGTGCAAGGGAAAAGTTCTGACGGTAAATGGCGAGCACCGAATTTCCATTTGGGCCCAGCAAGATATTTCCAAGGGCGAGGAGCTGTTTTTCGACTACGGCTACCATGGGGAAACTGCTCCAGATTGGAGTCAGCTTCGTATCAAGGGGGCAGCGCGTCACGGATCCTCGAAAAAGACGGAAGTGAAGGACAAGAAGAAAGAGAATTAAGGTAAAGTGTCGAATGGGTAGAATATCGAAAAGTGGAGATGGGTTGGTAGGAATGTGCATTATTGACACTTTTTGTGCAGTTTCGAATTTGTAGGCAAAAAAAGGTGTCTGAGAATACACTTTGTGTGCATACAATACCCTGACGGTGACCAAGATACCAAGCGTTTGTGGAATTAGTTGAGGAGGAATAATAGTGCTTAAGGTTGCACGAGGAAGAAACAGTGTCCAAAGTGCATATCATTTTGTCTCAAAAGAAAATACTAGGGGATATTTTTTAAGGCTCTCCCTACGCTCACCAGTTCACGGGTGTAAAACAGCCATTTACTTCAAGGAATATCGCTAGGGCGAGGGTAAAGCAAAACCCGGTATGGTCGGTATTTCTGAAAAAATGTCTAAAACTTGGTAAGGCATCGTGTGTACCACATACCGTTGTCCGAGGAATAAGCTTCTTGAACATTCATTTTTCAGAGTCATTAGGAAAACACCTAGATCTTGGAGGAAGTCTACTTTTGTCGTGGAGGTACGATTGCAATTGTGGGTCTCATATTCGTTACTAGCTTGTAACATCCATAAGACTGACTCAAACATGTTGTATCTGCAATCGTCCAAATCTTTAGCAGAAGTAAATTCAGGAGTCAGCTGCACCAGGTCTTCGTCCACTTTAGTGTTGTGAGCGACATTGATATAGGTCTCAAACCACTTCACAATAAAACCCCCACAATTGTGCCCGTCGTCTTGATACCACGCCGAAGACCGGCGGATAATTAACTTACATGCTTGGCCGATCACTGGCACAACTTCCTTGGTCATGATTGTAGTCACTGTGTTCAAATATTCCTCGTTGTGTTTAGGATCGTAGATCCAAATTGTCGTACAGCCAAAGTCGACGATCGCTCCGCACCAATGGCAAATGTCAACAACGATGTAGACTGGAATCAGGATGACGCGACTTTGGCAGACTGTACTCAGCAACTGTTCCCTGGTATCCAACATTCTTGCACGGTCTGCAGCGCCTTGAAACCCAAGAAAAACTCGATCAACGACGTGCACTTGGGTGATTCTACCACTATTTTGGGTACGACTATATGGTTCCGCTACCTTCAGTGCCGCTACAAATACGCACCCGTCACTAAGCCACATTTCACCCGCAAATCGCGTGGTCTTCCTGCAGGTTTACTGGACGTGTTCAACACAATGTTGACTACTATATCGCTCGAGTCGCTGTGAAATGTAAAGGTTTAGCCTCCGTCTAGTTATCGCAGTTGAAACCTGGGTGGACCGTCCTTCCTTTTCGATTTTTATCTCCATCGGCGAATCGGACGCTAGAACACGTCCAGAATTGGTTGTATTTTCACTAACACTAGCTGAATTGGTGACACCATCACCAGTATCATCACCAGAATCATCACCAGTATCATCACCAATATCACACGAATTGGCGACACCATCACCAACGTTGTCACCAGTGTCTTCCAAACTTGCGAGTTCTCCAGCGATACTTGCGTCCGTGTAGGATGGCGGTACATCATTGTGACGGGCGATCTTCTCCAGGCCTTCCAAAAGGGTAAGCCAAACGCGAAAGCTTCGTGACCCGTTGTCTGCAATAACTTCGGCTATCCTCTGGCACACTGCAAACCCCGATCGATACTTCTGACTATGTGCAAGGACACGTTTTAAAGGCGCTTCGACATCTTCGATGTAGAACTTCTGTGTCATATCAGGAGCACTTGAGTCGTCTCCGTCATCCACAGCAACCATCTCAGCGGAATCGCCTCACATGGAATAATAGATCGAAATTCTGAATGTTGCCGCCGCAAATACAGGATGTGACGGCAAGGAAGTAACACGGTCTGGTAAAAGGAGCAACTGCAGGAGTTCTCATACACGCTGACAGCATATTTCGCACCCGAGGCTGTAGAACTAGAGAGAGTAAAGGTAATTCCCTCACTTATAACAACGTACGACACTCTTCCGCTAACGTGATACTGCTCCTCGACCAAATTACATGCGTAATGAGTAGCGCACTTTGCCAGGGCAGTCATCTCGTCATCGTAATTTTGATTGTAGCGAAAACTGACGCGCTTGACCTTCGCATTATACACGTCTTCTGCAGACTGTTGTAGAAATAGGAGATGGTTGATACACTCATCCATAGCCATATGACGATGTAACAAGTCCTTTGCAGCACCCCAACTGGCTTCGAGACGATTGTTTGTGCTGTTGTCTAGATGCGGGATGTTTTCGCGCTCAAAGGTACACCACAGTTCCTTGCAGTTTAACCAATCCTCCTCGAAGTAATCCAGAAACGTGGATTTACTCGCACACAGCTTCCTCAATGCCGACAGGTAATCATCAAAAAGACTCTCACTCTCCGCACGAACCATCAACGTCAGGGTATTCTTCACGTGCATCTTCTCAAAACTGAATAACGCATAGTCTTTCTTGCTCACCGCTCGCTGGAGATAGTCAATAACGTGAAAGTGGCAGAGGATGATAGTCGCACAAGGAAAATTCATCGCGCAGCAGCGCCAGTTCCGTGAAATCCTTGTCAATGACGATAACCATCACATTCTTCCACTCTGTGTTGTTCTGCTCGAAAGCTCTTACTGCGCACTCCATGTTCAACCTACTCTCTCCGTCCACTAGAGAATGCTGCGCAAAAGCTCCACACCCGAACTTGTCCGTAATCATGAAGCTGAACAACCGATATCTGTAGAACGATCAGAAGGTGTATTAGTATTAGTTGGTAAATCATTCACAATTACTTCTACGATACCGATGTGTTGGTGACCACAACACCAACGTATTGGTAAATACAACTCCAGTTCATACGACGTACCGATTGATGTTGGTTCCGTAGGTCGCATCGACGCAAACAGCCTCCGGAAACTTGCGCACCATCCGTCGCATGTGGGCCGTCTGGAATGTAATGCACGTTGTAAGCCCCGTAGTTTTATCGCGAAAGACGTTGACACCGTTGCCAGGCCCCTCACTAAAGTCTTGAAGCACTTGAGCCACGCGCACGTTGTCGTCCTCAGAAGTGTAAGTCTCCTTACGCATCTTAGCAATGAGATTCTCGACATCCTTGGGTAGAACAACCTTTCCCGAGACCTCCTTGAGATAGCGCAGAATCTTCTTCTTCTTAGAACCACCTAAGACAATTGAAAATGGTTCGGAACGATTATAGCTAACAAGGATATAGAGAATCGTTACCTTGCATCATCGTCCTGACGACACGTTGCGTGCCTGGCGAAGTAATTTTTCGGGCTTCTGCGTAGGTATAGTAGACGTCTTGACCGACGTCGTGGTTGTGAGTGACCACGTGCTTGGTGACCCGAACTTTGTAATTCTCGTTTCCTTCCTTGATAAGAACGGCAGTCAGCTTTGCAGGGCAGTCGATGGAACGGATTTTGTGGTTGGTTCTCGCTCCTTTCCCCCTGGGATTGAATCTCCACCCGTGCGTGCAAATAAGCGTTTTCGTATAGAGCTGTAGCGACTCGTCAAAAATAACGGGAGAAGTCCCGCGGCGCAAGGCTACAGCTCGACGCTGTTTGTTGCGATCGCCCACGGAGTTGGTAGAGCGAATCTTGTACAGTTGATGCGTCTCTTCCTGGTACCTATCAATTAAATAAATATGAGTTTTTATCTCATATAAGAGAATTTGTAAGCATTACCTCTTTAGCTCCTCGTGGAATGCGTCCCAGGACTTAAATTCCCCGCTAAAGGGGGGGAAAGAGACGCTGACGCCTTCGATATCCTCGGCATCATCTCCGCTGTTGTGGGTCGCTGTCGCTGACATGGGCACGCTTCTTCGTCTTCCGTGACGGCATCGCTTGCTGGTGAGTTCTGGTGCTGGAAGTGTGGAGAGGGGGATTTTGAAATTGAGTGGCCAGCAAAATCTCTAAATTCTCAAAAATCTCAAAGTGAGATACCCTTACCCCGGTATTCCGGTAATAAAACCCTGGCCGTTTTCGTAGATAGTACTGGTGAACGTAGGCACTTCCATTTTTTACTTTAGCTGGTCTACAGGTGACATTTTCACAATACCGGTATTAGCTTCACCGATTTTGTTTTCACAAAACCGGTATTAGCTTCACCGATTTTGGAGCTACGTTCCGTATGTTTTTAAGCTTTTTAAGCTGTGTTTTGGTTGGAGCAAAAAACACTTGGTTTCAGCCAAAAACACAGCAGGTATGTGTCCCCTCTCAAACTCGCTCCGTGTTGCCATCATCCATCACCGCAAGTAAGCAAAGAGGCGATGACAGCGGCTTCGGTGGTGAAGCTGGCGGAAGACCAGCGCCGCATCGACGAGCTGTCGAGCGCCACACGCAAGACCAAGAAGTTATTGGCCGGCGCACTGTCAGGTATGATCTCTGCACTGGCCTTCCAACCTCTAGACGTGCTGCGCACGCATCAACAAGGCGCGTTCACGGCTCATTCGGAGCCTCCCAAGGTATCTACAGGATCCTCGCGCCTTTCTCTTCCGGAGACCATCAAGGCGTCGCGCCCAGCTGATGACCCCGTGGCGAGGCTACGCTCTATGTGGCGAGGCACGTCGTCTACACTCGTTCGAGTGGCAGGCGGCGCTGGTCTCTACTTCGCTACGCTGGATCACTGCCTCAACATGTTTCCGCACACTGCAGTCAACACGTTCCTGGCTGGAGCCTTCGCTCGCACTTTTGCAGGCGGCGTCATGTCTCCTTTCACTATTGTCAAGGCACGAATGGAGTTTTTACCGCCGGGTACTTTCGACAGCAACTTGCACGTGTTGCGCCACGTGCTGCACCACGAAGGCGTCTGCGGACTGTACCGTGGCATGGTGCCTACGCTCATTCGAGATGTACCGTTCTCTGGTCTGTATGTTCTCATATACACTCGCTTACGCGAATCATGGACCGAGAAGTTCTCGCATCTGCCCGTGTACAGTGTGCACTTCAGCAGCGGCGTGGTCGCGGGCGTGTTGGCCACGTCTATCGTCCACCCAGCCGATGTTGTAAAGACGCGCATGCAACTGGCCATAATGGTAAATCCCAGTGAAGGCTGCGCGTCTTCGGTGCAAAACTCACTCACACTACGCCAGACAGTGGCCAAGATCTATAACCTTGAAGGATTGCGCGGCTTCGCTAAAGGAATTTTTCCGCGTGTGGTCAAGCGAACGCTATCCACCGCAGTCACATGGACAATCTACGAGCAATTATCACTGAAATAAGAAAAAATAAGGACTTTCGGCCGAGATCACTGTAGAAGTTGATGACAATTTTTGTAATAGAAAAAAAACTGGGCAAAATCTAACGGCTAGAGCACGACTGAGCAGCAATTACCGTGTGATGATAGGCGTAAAAGCAGCAAAGGGTTCACCTCCGCTTGCTCGTGGTCCGCTGCCATTGAAATTGCTGCCGGGCCGAGAGGGACTCGAATGTCCATTGAGACCACTGCTTTTCCCATTGAAGTCGTCGGTATCGTCGCCATTAAGTCTGGGCAAGGAGCTTCCGTTGGCCTTGAAACTACTCGTCGAACTTCCGTTGTGTCCATGAAATTTATTCGTGCCGTTCAGTGGAGCAGCGGAAGAAGCTGCAACGTATTGGAAAGCCTGCGAAGATTGATCAGCTTGTGGTTCAATGTCGAAAGGCTCTGGATGCAGAGGTTCCTGTGTGCGAGAGCTCTTCTGGCGTCGCCTTTGAGCGAGCTCCATCTCCGCCTCAAGATCAACAGCTGCAACGCCCTCGGACATCCCTTCGGTTCCTACCTCACGCAAGGAGCCAGAATCCAGTTCAAACCTCAACGGGATCGAGCCCAAGGTGCCGTCAAAGCGGTTCTTTCGGATATCCAGCTTGGATTCTCCACGTGTACGCTGCAAGATCAGCACGTTATCAGCTTCTTGAGTAGCTTTGGCCGTGCCGAAGACAGACGACAGCGTGAGATCTTGATCCTCCTGCTCCTTTCCTCGGGTGAATCACAAGCGTGAGATGCACATTCTTCGCTGAAGCGAACTTCCGGAACTTGTCCAACGCTGCATCCTGACGCTCGAATTTGTCGTATCCACGCCCTTGGCCCTGCCATCATGAACTGCACATTATCCAGCAGAATATGCTGCACATCGTAGGCGTATACCGCGTACTCCATAGCGTCCAGCACTTCATCGACATTGGTACTACCAAAGAAGCGCAAAAAGTGCATCGGAAGCGCCTCAAATCGATCCGCTGCGGCTTCAAAAGCCTTGACGTCACCTGACAAGTTCCGCTGTGCAAGTTGCGTGAGCATCTTGTGCATCAGTCGAGTGTTCTTGATCTCAAACGAGCCCCACAATGTGCTCACTCCTTGGCCACACAAATCCAGCGATAACTGACTTAGGAATGTAGTCTTGCCGCAGCCTGTAGGCCCCGTCAACACTGTCACTTCGCCCATACGATGACCTTTCATCAGTCTGTTTAGTGACGGAAAGGCACGCGACTGCACGCCACAAGCCTTCAACGGGTTGACGATTTCCTCGTAAACGTCACGACGCAGCTCCTCGAACGTGGTGATCTGAGTGTGCGGCATAATTTCTGCAGCGTTCACGATAGCTGTAAGGTCCAGATCAGCTCGAAGAGCGTCGTTTGCGTCCTTGATAGAAGACGATGCTGCATTCGCTGGCATGCGCACTATATAGCAACGAGCCATACCGAGCTTCGCAGCAAATTTCTCAACATTTGACTGTCCAGAGGCATCGTTGTCCATCCACAAGTAAATGCGCTTGAATCGCTCTAACAAAGGTAATACACTCGGAGGGAGAGACTGACAGCCATTGGGTAGTGACACAGCGGCCATACCAGTGGCTTGGTGCACAGCCATTGCGTCAAATTCCCCCTCTGTAAGCACCAGCTCCTGTGCAGTGGCAGGAACGGTGTTCCAGCCAAAGAGTCCCCAACTGCCACCCTTTGGTACAAGCTGCTGCTTGGCTTTATCCTCCACTGCACGCAGCTTAAGTCGGACAACGTCGTACAAATTCTTGTCTTCTGCTGCCTGTTTTTTCTCATCTTGACACACAACGCCCATTGCGTCCATGTCCATCTGCCGAGCCATCCACGGGAAGGAGATGCAGTGGGCATTGACGCGTTCGCCTGCGTCGTGGTCCCAAAACGGCTGCTCGATTGCACCAACACAGTACTTCTGCAGAACCTCCTTGGAGAGACCGCGGATGTCCGTAAGGTAATGGAGCACAGGCTCAAATTCGGGGTCGTCCAGCAGGTTTTTCTGAATCGCCATAGCTTTCTCGTTGTCCAGGGCCTGGATAACTTTCACCTCTGCTGGAGCGCCAGGCTTTCCAGCATGAATGCCTCCGTATAACGCGCTACTCGAGGACGCGACGCCCACGCTGCCCTGCAGCTTGCGCTTAAAGTCGAACCAGCTACCAGCAGAGCCGCAGCGGTGGCATTTGTACACACCCTGCGTCCTGTGCACGTACATTTTGAAGAGGTTGTCGGTTTTGCCGTGCGTGGAATGGCAGAACGGACAGTCGCGCACCACGAAGTGCGTGTCTGTCTCGCGTACAGCCAAGCTTTTGCGGCGTAGGAAGTCCGCGACGTCCTTTGGGTCCTGCATCTGATAATGGCGCGATACAAATGCCTCGGTGGCTAGACCACGACGACTAGTAGTGCAAGCTATGAACGCAGCGTTCGAGCGCCGTATTGAGCGGCCTGTAGCCACCAAGCAAGAGAAGACACGCATGTCTTGCCCCGGAGATCTGCGCTGCTCGCGATTGCGGCAATTATGAGCTTGGCACATCGAAATTTAGAGTTGGGATTGACACGATCTGAGGATTGGTTGAAATTCGGCTGGTTGAGACTCGCCGTGTTTCAAGGTCGCAATCGTGTCAATCCACTGGTCAAGTGGAAGCATGAGCGGACTGTCGGTGGTGCCCTACACTCTAGCGCCGGCGACGGGAGCAGGGTCGAAGCCGTCCAAGAAGCGGAAGAAACGCTCGAACTCAGGCGCTAACAGTGCAGATGTGGATGCGAGCTCGTCGATGACCAACGCCGGCTGGGAAAAGGTGGACATCCAGGATATGCAGCTTGAGGGGTTCCAGGACGGATGCGCCTTCGAGCTGGAAGAACTCACCGACTACCGCGTAGAGAATACGGAAGACGGTGGTAAGATGCTGGTCGGAGAAGTTAAGAGCCAACAGGAGGGCGGAAAGAAGAAGAAACGCAGGAAAACTAAGGCAAAAAAGCCACAGGAGACAGAACAGGAGGACACTGAGATGAAAGAGGAAAAGCAGGAACAAACGAAGCAGCAGGAAAGTGGAGATGATGCTATGAAGAAGAACAAGAAGAAGAAGAATCGCGGTGGCAAGGCTAAGAAGGAGCAGGAGCTGGTTGAGATTGTGGCGTTGAAAGACGTGAACCTCCCTAAGTGGAACAAATTCAAGCTGCATCCTCTGCTTATGCAGTCACTGCAGACATGCGGCTTCAGTGCTCCGACACGCATTCAGGAACGCACGTTGCTACCAGCGCTTGTTGACAACCGAGATGTTGTAGGTGCCGCACCGACAGGGTCCGGTAAGACGTTGGCCTTTGGACTTCCCATCTTGAGCCAATTGCTGCATGAACGCGAGCAACCAGGGTACATTAAGGACTGCAAGGCGCTGATTTTGACTCCAACACGCGAACTGGCTATCCAGATCCAGCAACATCTTGAAAAAATGGTCCGTAATCGCGAGATCGGCGTGGTGACGTTGGTGGGTGGTATGGCTGTGCAGAAGCAGAAGAGAATTCTCACTTACAGACCTGAGATCGTCATCGGTACACCTGGTCGTCTTTGGGATATCATTGAGACCAACCACGAACACATGCAGGATCTGGCAACGTCGCTACGCTTCCTGGTGGTGGATGAGGCCGATCGTATGCTGCAGCCAGGATCGTATTCGGAATTGGAGAAGATCTTTGAGGTGTTGCGTCGCAAGAACAAATCTGCAGCTTCTGAACTGACGAATCTTTCAGACAGTGAAGAAGAGGAAAGCGATGAAGCAGACAACGAGGATAGTGACGAAGATGATGGCGAGGATATCGATATGTCGAAGTTTGCAAGTGGATCGAAGGTCATGATGCTTGATGATGTACTCAAGATGCAACGTAAGCAGCAACAGAAGTCTGCGACTGCCAAGGAGACTGACAAGTCCGTGAAGACGAAGGTCGAGGTAGCTGCTTCGCGTCATGTGCGCCAGACGTTTCTGTTCTCCGCTACGCTGACGATTCCAGAAGGTGGTCGCTTCCAGAAGACTAAAACCAAGAAGTACCGTAACGCGTTGAGTGTTCTGGAGCGAGTCATGAAGCGTGTGGGTCTACGTGGCAAGCCTGCAGTTGTGGACCTTAGTATCGCAGAGTCTGACATCGGTATCCCGGGAGCAAAGCCACTAATGTCGGAAGAAGCGGAGCGTAAACTGAAGAAACAACAGCAGAATGTGGCCTTGTCTCTGCCTGCGGGTCTCGAGCTCTGTCAGCACGAAGTGACGGAGTCTACACGCGACAGTTTCCTGTACTTCTTCCTCACACAGTATCCGGGTCGTACCATCATTTTCTTGAACGCTATCCATCAAGTTCGCAAGCTTTCGGGTCTGCTGACTCTATTGAACCTCCCCGTGTTTGCTCTACACGCCGAGATGCAGCAACGTCAACGTTTGAAGAAGTTGGATGGCTTCCGTTCACACTCGAAGGGGATTCTGGTGGCGACTGACGTTGCAGCACGTGGTCTGGATATCCCTAGCGTGGACTACGTCGTGCACTACCATATTGCTCGTTCTACCGAGGTGTTCGTGCATCGAAGTGGTCGTACGGCTCGTGCGAACAAAGATGGGCTGAGTATCTCGCTGGTGTCGCCTACTGATGCCAAGTACCACACACAGATCTGTAAGATGTTGCAACGACCTACTGGACTGTCGGACTTCCCGTTCGATCATCGGTATCTGGAAGCAATTGACGAGCGTTTGCGTCTTGCCAAGAGCATCAACGAGCAGGAGAACGCGGCGGGTAAACTCAAGTCGGAGGCGACGTGGTTCCAGCAAATGGCTGCCGCTGCAGACTTGGACTTGGACGAGGATTTGTTGTTCGAGTTGGGAGCCAAGCAGCGAAATCAGGACGGCAAGAAGAAGAAGACAGCCAATCAGTCGGTGCAGTCGCTACGTGCTCAGCTGAGTCGTCTGCTTGCTGCTCCTCTGCGTCCTGTGGGCTCGGCTCGTAAGTTCCGACAGCTACACAAGGAACTAGGATCTCAGATCACTGGAGACGGCGAGTACCGTGCTCGTGATGCTAACGAAGACCTGGCATCGAAGGGGAAGAAGTCGTACAAGCGCTTCCGCCGAAGGAAATAGAGCATGTTGCGTTGATTAGAGGGCGAAATAGAGTTCGGTAACGGTAACGATGAGTTGCATCTGTCTTTTTTTATTCTACCCGCTCATCACTAAGTACGAGCTTATCTTGCTTCGCTATCCCTCGTTCAGTATCGAAGAGCAAAGTTTTAGCGCAATGGCGATGGAGAACCGATTGGCTACGCGTCGTGAGGGGGCAGCTCCTGGCTCGAACCTGCCGCGAGCTGGAGGCGTGGCTGAGGACAACGACAACGAAGATGAGAAAGTGTACTACGGCTTCGGCGTGTTCATGGGCATGTCATTGTCTGATCTCAAGGCGATGAAGGACGAATTCGTGGAGCAGCAGGCGATGACGGGTGGCGCTCCGCGACGCAATCTTCCTCCGTCCGCTGTGGTGGATGGACGCGCGCACCGCGTTGAAGACGATGGTAATGGCTACGAGCACCAGGAGGACGTGCGTATGGCACTGCCTCACGCGCAGCAGCAGCAGCAACGCATGAACGGCTTTAATGGTCAGCGCGGCGGCGAGGGCCAGTCCCGTGAATTCGCCGGTGAGCGTGCGAGGTATGGTCAAGAAGCGCCTGATGCTGAGATGGAAGAGGATGCAGACAGCGATGGCTCGGACGAGTTCGGGAAGTCGCACTCGCTAAACTTTATCCTGCACTGAGGACTGAGGTGATGAAGGCTTAGGCAGGAGAGAAAGGTTCATGTAATATATAGAGGGGGTTCGCACCACTCACGACGTTATTTCTTTCGGTGATCATCGCCAAGTACGTCAGCATCTCCCTCCTCTTCAATTACACTTAATTTTTGTAAGGTATCACGTTTTAATTCGTGTTGATTGGATTACTCCGTAGGATTTCGATGGCGTGGCGACCGCTGGTAGCACGCGTGAAAAGATGGACACCCGACGCGTATGTGCCTCTGCGTGTCATGCTGCACCCTGATGAAGGGGAGGTATGGGGACGCGTACTGGGCGTCCAGGGCCCGTGTAAGTCTGTAGTGGCGGGGTCGTCCTGAAGGAGCGGCGAGAGGTAATCTCACTCTGAGTCTTATCTACACTCCCAGTTGTCTGTAATAATGAGCCCTCTATCGTGTTACCAGCGTTTGAGCAAGTTTAAGGATCTACTGGAGGTGACGGACCACGAGATCATCATGAAGCCGCGGTTCAGCACTGTTGAGGAACGATCTCAGGCGTTCCAGAAGATGGAGGCCGAACTCAAGCAGGAAGGCGCTTTCCCGTTCTGGCAGGACGAAGTCTACATGGCAAGGACGACGTTCTCCAGTCCGACGCTCTTTACCAATCACCGCGGTGTGGGGCCCTACTTCGGTCTCAGCCAGTTCGCCACCCACCTTAATGGATTTGTGCGTGACAAGGAGACTGGAACAGTGACACACGTGTGGATTGCAACTCGTAGCGCCTCCAAGAAACGCTGGCCACTGATGCGCGACACCATCGTAGGCGGAGGACTACCTTCAGGTATCACGGCACTCGACAATATGGTGAAAGAGGCACAGGAAGAGGCAGGGTTGGATCCATCGTGGACACGCCCGCGATTCGTGGCTGCCGGCAGCATCTCGTACGTGTCCAAGCATCCCTACGGCTTGACAAACGTTACGATGCTCATATTTGACGTGGAACTACCGACGGACGTCGTTCCGGTTAATCAAGACGGCGAGGTGGAGAGCTTTGATCTTATGCCCGTGCAAGACGTGCTTTCACGTCTGTGGTCGGAGCCTGAGCGCTTCAAGCCAGACGTGTGCATTCTACTGCTCGACTTCTTCATCCGTCACGGTGTAATCTCGGCGGATAACTTCGCGGACTACGAAGAGCTCCAGCGAGCGCTACGCAATAGTGAGATGCCTTCAACCGAATGAGCTAGTACAGTGTGCAGGTACAAAAACTCAGTGTCTTCAAATGTCCATCTGAAATGATGAAAAGGACCATTTTAAAAGTAATGTGGACATTTGCTGCTGTCCAATGGAAATTGCACATGTACTGTTTAATCACTTTGTGAGTTTAACCTGTATTTATCAGTTGACCTCTTCAAATTGAACTCCACTCATTTCTTGCTGTTTAATTAACAACAATTAAGCAAAATCACCTGTGACTTAACATACTTTTCTTTACTGCTTAAATTGGCGGATTTATGTAAACTCACACGTATTTCATCAAACGACGTCACTGACCGACGGACGACTGGAAGCGAGACGATGGCAGCAATAGCGAAGACGAGTGCGCTAAAGGACGAAGCGCAAGAGACAGTCACGCGTTTGTATGTACAGAATCTGCCGGCTTACGTAGACTCAGCGCGGTTGCGTGAGCACTTCGCGGCGCAGGGCGAGGTGACGGACGCTTGCGTGATCCGCACCAAAGACGGCAGCAAGTCCCGGCGCTTCGGCTTCGTGGGCTTCAAGAGCTCGACACAGGCAGAGCAGGCGCGCAAGTTTTTCCATCAGAGCTTCTTTGACACGTGCAAGATTAATGTGCGCGTTGCGCTAGCGGTACGAACGCAAGTTGGTTTGCCAAAACTTGTTAGTGGCTTGGTGCTGATGATTTAAAGCTGTGTTTAGAGGGAATCTGATGATATGGAGAGGCCATGGAGCAAATACTCGGCTGGAAGCGGTCGCTATCAGAAGCTGCACTCGGAGTCGGGTGTCGTAGCGACCTCAAAGGAAGACAAGATATCTCCCGAGAAGAAGGAAAAGAAGAAGGTCAAGCCGGACGAGACGAGCGGCGAATTTCAAGAGTTCATGGAGACCATGCAGGCCCGATCCAAGACGAAGTTCTGGGCCAATGACGATGTGCAGGGGCCGACGGACGGTAAAACAGCTACCAAGGGCGTGGATATTGCTGACGCAGAGGACAGTGACGACGAATACCAGGAACTTGACACGATGAAACCTGATGAAGATGAAGAAGATAGCACGGAGAAGGTAAAGAAGGGCAAGAAATCGGAAGCCATGTCCGATATGGACTTCCTGCGCTCCAAAATGAGCAAAAGTATCGACAAGGATTTGGTTGATGAAGACATGGAAGAGGATGAGGATGAGGCCGCTGGGTCCACGAAGAATGCGCCAGGCGAAGCGGGGACTGAAGACGACAAACCCACCGCGCGTTTATTCGTGCGGAACTTGCCATTCACGGCAGTTGAGGAGGATCTGGAGGCACTGTGCTCGACGTATGGTCCCGTGGAAGAAGTACACATGCCGCTGGATGACACACGCCGTCGCAAAGGCTACGGTTTTGTATTATTCCGCACCACTGTGGATGCTCAAGCAGCACTCACAACTCTGAACGGAATGGCGTTCCAAGGTCGACGTCTCCACGTGATCTTCGCACGCTCCAAGCCTGTCAAACTCGACCCAGAGGCGGCTCTGGCAGACCCGAATTTGAGCTACAAACAACGTAAGGAACTAGAGCGTCAGATTCAGGCCCAGAAGAAGACGGGATGGAACGCTTCGTACATTCGCGGAGACGCGACTGTGGGGTCACTCGCCGAGCGTATGGGCGTGAAACGTGGCGAGATTATGGACAAGGAACAGGGCAACATGGCTGTGCGTCTTGCTATTGGCGAGACGATGCTGGTCAAGGAGAACAAAGATTTCTTCGCTCGAGAAGGCGTGGATCTCAACGCCATTGAAGGAGCTTTAGTAAAGAAGCCAACCCAACAGCAAGCGAAAAAGATCGAGCGAAGTACGACTGTCATCTTGATCAAGAATCTCCCACACACCACCGACGAGGAAGAACTGGCTCAGCTTTTCCGTAAACACGGAGAGATCGGTCGCTTCCTGCTGCCACCTTCGAAGACTCTCGCTGTCGTGGAGTTCCTGGAGCCTTCGGAAGCTCGCAAAGCCTTCCGCTCTCTAGCGTACAAGAAGTACCAGCATGTGCCGTTGTATCTTGAGTGGGCTCCTGTTAAAGTGTTCGATCGTCCGGCTTCGAGTACTAACACGTCGTCTTCAGAACAGAAAGGCATCAAAACTACATCTGCCGTGGTGCCAGACGTTGATGACGATGCTGATGCTGCTGTGGGTGACGCGTGCCACACGATTTGTGTTAAGAACTTGAATTTCTCGACGAAGGAGCCAGCACTGGAGAAGATCTTTGCGCGTTGTGGTAAGCTACGTAAAGTCACCGTAGCTCGTCGGAAAGACCCCAAGCGAGGCATGTTGTCCATGGGTTTTGGCTTCGTGGAATACGTCGATGCGAAGGATACAGAGCGAGCGTTGCAGACGCTACAGAACACGGTCGTGGATGGCCACGCACTGAATTTGAAGCTCTCTCAGAAGAAGGCGTCGACTGCTCCCAAGCGCGCGGCTGGTGAAGTGGACGGTGAAGGTCGAAAGTCGAAAATCATTGTGCGAAATGTTGCATTCGAAGCAACGAGCAACGAAATTCGCGAGTTGTTCGGTGCCTTCGGACAGCTCAAACGTGTGCGCATGCCCAAGAAATTCGACGGCAGACACCGTGGCTTTGCGTTCGTTGAATTTCTCACGGAGCAGGAAGCTCGCAACGCATTCTCGGCTCTTGCCAGCTCGCATCTGTACGGTAGACATCTTGTGCTCGAGTGGGCAGAGGATGCAGACGATATCGACACATTGCGAGCCAAGGCGACGCGTGATGTGACCGCCATTAACGACAGCGAACGTCGTAAGCGCATGAAGCGACAGAAAGACGAGGACGAAGATGACATGGACTTCTGATAGAAAAAAGTGCTTTTTACAGCAATAATCGTTCGCAAAAACACAATTATTGTTTGGAAATATTGTAATTGTATCGGTCGAATTGATTTATTTCGTTGCTGATGTACTTCATGTAAATTTCCTGCGCTACACTAGCAACCAGCTATAGAATAGGCGGCCTCTTACAACCGGCTACTCCTCGGGCGGGCAACATTTGCCTCCTTCTGGATCAGCTCGAGCTTCTTGTGCGTGTACTTGAGCGGATGATTGCTCTTGGTTGACGAGAACTGCGAGACGGTGTGGCCGCTCTCAGACACAAGCTTCCACTTGGTGGTAAGCAGACCCTCGACGCCCACAGGTCCACGAGCGTGAATGCGACCAGTACTGATGCCGACCTCAGCGCCCAAACCGAAGCGGTAACCGTCAGCAAAGCGAGTGCTGGCGTTGTGGAACACACAGGCGCTGTCAATCATCTGTTGAAACTGCTCGGCAGCAACGGCGTCCTCCGTCACGATACACTCAGTGTGGCCACTGCTGTACTGGTTGATGTGAGCAATGGCAGCGCCAACGCCCTTCACCACCTCGATTGTAAGGTCCGGGGAGCCGTACTCGGTGGACAGTGTGTCGGTAGGACGCGACTTGGCCGTAGCGACACCCAACTTGGCAGCGTTGGGGGCGATGTGCAGATTAATACCTGCCTCTTCAAGCTTCACTAAGATCTCCTTGTCTTGGCCACTGCTCACCAGAGATTCATCCAATAGCAGCGTCTCAAGGGCATTGCAAGCAGCCGGGTAGTCCGTCTTAGCGTCAATCGCGAGCTCAATGGCCTTCTTCACATCAGCCGCACTGTGGATGTACATGTGGCACACACCTTCAGCGTGGCCAAGAACAGGAATGCGCGTGTTCTTTTTGATGAAGCTGACCATGGAGCCCGAGCCACGAGGGATGCACAGATCGATGACGTCGTCCAGACGCAACAGATCTGAAATCTCCTCACGTGACGTGACCAGACCAATGACGTCTTTCTTCACCTTGCCGTTCGTTGCGTCTTCCACCGCCTTCACAATAATCTTGTGCAGCACAGCGTTACTGTGAAGTGCCTCCTTGCCGCCCTTCAGCAGCAGACCGTTGCCACTACGCAAAGCAAGTGCGGCGATCTGCGGGAGCGAGTCCGGACGGCTCTCGAAGATGACGAGTAGCACACCAATCGATGCTGTCTCCTGATGCAGCACCAGGCCAGACGCCAGCTCCGTGCGCTTCAGCATACGACCAATCGGTTCCTCGGACTCGGCGATACTTCGGATACCGTCGGCAAGTGTCTCCAGCTTCTCTTCTGACAGCTTCAATCGAGCAATAAGTCCCTCGTCAATAGAGGACTTCTGTGCGGCCTGAAGATCCTTGCGGTTGGCGTTGAGAATCGACTTGCTGTTGTTCTTGAGCTCATCGGCAATACGGAACAGAATGTCAGCACGTTCTTCTGAAGACAGAGCCTGGAGCTGGTGGCAACCTTCGCGAGCAGCGTTGGCCATCTCCTCGGCTGACATGGAGTCGGGAGACTCGACACCAGGGTTGGCGACGAAGAGCGTACCAAGACTTGAGCCCTTCATGATGGAATTCACCACGCCGTACTTGAAGCCACTGGCAATAACCACCGCGTTCACTCCTTGTGAAATCGCTGACTGAGCAGCCTCGATCTTGGCGCCCATACCGCCACGTCCGACACTCGATTTCTCGCCAATCTTGAAGCTGTTGTTCTCGGGCCGGAAGACCGAGATGACCTTGGCACCAGGCTGACTGGGGGGCTTATTGTACAGTCCTTCCACGTCCGTGAGCAGCATCAGGAGGTCGGCTTCGATCTCGCCGCCCACCAATGCAGCGAGCGAGTCGTTGTCCGTGAAGACAGTTCCGTCGGGCGAGGCGCTGACAGCATCGTTCTCGTTGACGATGGGGACGACGTCCAGCTCCAGTAGATTGAGCATCGTGTCGCGCATGTTGGCACGGTTCTGGGCCGTCTTGAAGTCGGAGGCCGTGACGAGCACCTGCGAGCAGGCCACGTCGTACAGCGAGAAGAGAGTCTCGTAGAGGGACATGAGACCAACCTGACCAGCGGCGGCCATTGCGCCCTTCTTCTTCTCGAGCGCCAGCATCTGCTGGTTGCCCTGCACGTGCGTCCGTAGCGAGGCAGACAGCAGAATCTGCTTGTTGAGGCGCTTGCGGCCGATGCCGACGGAGCCGCTGGTCACCAGTAGCACCTCCTTACCCTGGCGCTTGAGCATACATACCTGCTCCACGATGGAGGCAATGCGACCAAGCGCGGGCTCGCCGTTGGTGGACACCACACTGGTTCCCATCTTGACCACAATACGCGTGGCGTGCTTGAGGTCGTGACGCGTGATGGGGCGCTCACCAGCATAGCCGCCGAAGGTGTGCGAGTGGGTCATAGTTTCTTTCCTCATTATGAGTGGTGTGTGTAGTGATGCGGGCAACGAGCTCTTGGGGTGTGCGCTAAAGCCGGCGGTTTTGAGAATGAGAGCGGCAGACGTCGACGTCAGTTTGGCTCGCTGCGAGGAGCAGGGGCTGCCTGGTGCTGTGCAGACTGTGCCACACATCTGATGACCGGTAAAAACCGGACGAGAGTATCAGATGAGAGATTCAATGGCTTGATCGAGGGCAACTCACTTGATAATTGTACGCTTTTCCGAGCGAGGGATGGACACAATACGTTTTGGCAGGAGCACACTGCGACATGTGGCGCGTGGGTTATGATTTCATTGGAACCCATGAAAATACAAATATCAAGTCATAGACGACGCTAGACCGCATTCCCCGCTGATTTAGATTGATCGGCTTTCAGGATTTTTGAAGTGGTCGCAATAACTTTTGTGGACGCTGGACGGTGCAATCGTTCAGTATGCCGGCGCCATTGCCCGCGTCCGTGGAGTCCACACGGCGTGGATGCGATTAAGGTGCGCCGTTCAGTGAACGGTGTTCACAGCGTTTTTCGGGGGTTACTTTACTCCAACCACTATGGGACGTTGACACCAGCCGGCAAACCAAGCAGCAGCGGTTTTATTAGCGCCGCGCAAATTGCGTGCGTGGCCTGGTACGAGCTGTTGCCGGAATAGGAGATGAATCAGAAGGGCGCGAAGTCCACTGCTCGAGCGGCGCCGACGTTATCCCTCTGGTTGAGGTAAGCCAACGGGAGCTCTGCTTATAGCTCAGGCTGTCGAGCCAGCCATAGGTCTCCAACATGTGAAGTAACAATACAGTGTATTACATGTAGAGTCCATTTATTCGGACACTGCTGCCTCGAAGGCAGAATCTGAACCCGCAAATCCTGTTATTGGGTAGGGTTACCTCCATGAACTGTGGTACTGAGCAAACACGCGGATCTGGCTATGGTTAAGAGACCAGTGACAGGCCCAGTTGGCCTACAGTACCGAACATGTTTTGTCGTGCAGCGGAATTGACTCAATAGTTTGTATTGAGTCGCGGACCCTGCTTGTGGCTGCCATTCGTACTGGATAGTCGTCAGGTGTCTCAATAAAGTGCTGTCAGTTTTTGGTGATGTCACGATGCACGACTCGTGCAGCGAGCTCGTTTCCGATCATCGCATGGGGAGATGCTTCAGCACCTTAATACCCGCCTCACGCATTAGCGCACAGGGTCAGTCTTCGATCCTGGTGCTGTGGTATGCCTTGAGTGCTAATGTACATGCTGGACATCCTCGAATAAAATAGATCTCGTTCCTGTCGACGACTGTCAAACAGCTTGGTCATCGGTCGGATCACTTCGGCAAACCGGCTAATCATTCTGGCTGGTCGCATGGGATCTGACAGAAAATATTTCGATAAAAATTATTCAGGCCAATCAAAACACAGATGTCCCAGGTTTTTCTAGTGGGCAGCGTTTAGGTGGTCTGTCTGAAGTGATACTAGATCGTCAAAACTTTTGTTGAAAAGACCATCTCGATTGGTCTAGAAGAGCAATAGTGTTTGTTTTCGCTACATCCGCATAATATGCGGACCATTTTATGGTCCGGTCACCTAAGTAGATCTATAAAGTACAAGATAATAAGGGTGCGTGCCAAAATGTTGTGTATATTTCACAAAATGCTCTGGTTTATTTTAAAGAGATAAACGGGTTTAAGGCTGGGCTAAAAGGTTAAAGAGGCTGAGAGTGGCTACTGCGCCCATCGGAGGAGGTCTCTTCTTTGTCATGCCCTATTCCTCGTGTGTCATGCTCTGCGCACGCTATACGAACGACGGCGTATACAGTATACTGCAAGGACAGAACGAGTGGCTCCCCTTCATTTGGACAAAAAGAGCAAAGCGGCAAGTATGGAGCGCCGGCCGCGTCCAGCACAAAAGCGCCGACAGTACGCTGCTCCGAGTGAAGATGATAGCGACAACGGTGACAGCGACGCCGAGTGGACACTGCCATCCGGGGACTCGAGTGTACAGTCGTCGCAAACCTCGAGCCAGTTCGAGACACAGAGCGCACAAGAGGAGGCCTCCAGTGGAGAAACATCTTGTGCCTTAGCCCCCCAGCTACTTCAGATGCAGTTTGACTCGTGGGAGTCATTCCATGCTTACCTCAACGAGTATAAGGCGCAGACATACCAGGTTCGCATCGCTAAGAAATTGTTTAGTTGACAACTAGCCTAATTACTACTGTATGTGTACCAGAGCTTTCGAATTCGTACTAACAACAAGGTCCAGGAGCGCGACCGCAAGATCCAGAAGCAAAATACTTTAGCTCCTCTAATCCCAGAGGAGTGGATCTGGTACAGCAAGACCCTTGTTTGCACCCACGCGGGCAAGTACAAACCGCGGGGTAAAGGCAAGCGGCCACGTCGGGAAATACGATCGACTGAGTGCGGTGCACAGGTATGTAGTCATTTATATTTGGGCACAGTTGGGCTAAATACTATCGAGTTGGGCACAGATGGGTGAATTCCCATCGAGTCGGGTTCAGATGGGACACCTGCAACTGGATGTGCTGTAATGCCTTTCGTAATACTGACAAAATATATGTTCTTCCTTCAGATAAACGCTTGTGTCCGTGTCGTCAATGGTAGCACAAACGACCCTGTGTTCGCGTTATGCGTCACTACTGCCAAACTGCAGCATAACCATCCCCTGACTCGTTCCAACTACGAGCACTACTCGTCGGTCCGAACGGCACTTGCTCCTTCCATGGTGAAGACGGTTGATGTTTTGCGCAAGGCGAAGGCAAAGAAGAAAAATATTCTGCAGTTTGTCCTTGAAAATTCAGACTGTAACATGAAAATTCGCGACGTCCACAACCTCATTCAGCGCCTAAAGGATCAAGAGCGTGAAGGAACGACGAGCAAACAGAGACTGAAGACGTGGATGCAAGAATTTGGGGGATGAGCCTGGTAATGTGGAATCATATTGATTATGAACATGTGGTGTAGTGATTTCTCCGTGGTTGCGGATTATCACCCGTCGACAAAGACGTGACACCGCCCAAGTTGTTCAAGCGACGAACTCTCGGTCGGGTGATGTACGGAGACGCCAAGGTGCAAGGGACTCGACGGCGTCACCTCCGAGTTTTTCACAAAGTATCGGATACGGCCCTAAGTCACTGAATCCAGGCTGTCCTTATTATAATAATGGACTGGCCGGATTCGCATTCAGCGGACCATCTACGGTACGAACCCTCAGTGGCGGTTGGGATGAGTTCGCGGAATACTCAGCGACCTTTGGAAGACACGTTCACCGTCTGGGACAGGGCGCGGACCGTTAAAGATGCTCATGCGACAGTGCAGACGACGCTTGGCATGCAAGAAGATCCATAACGGATCATTGTTCATTTGATATTTGTATACTTGATTAGGACATCTTATTAGGAATAGACCAGAAAGGGTAAGCTTAAATACAGAACAGAATTTCCACTCAAGCACACAGAGCGACGTCCGGCTTCAAGGTAAGCGTCAGGTCAAGCTTGTTTGAGTGTGTTATGCCTGTCGGTGAACTCGAAGCTCTGTAGCGAGGGTTCATCCGGCAAGGCCAAGAGACTTTGTGTATTGGCCGATTATTATCGGGAGGTTTTACGTGACGGCTTATTGTTGCCTATTTGCACGACTGGGAGTGCTTGAATTGCCTCCCTTTTATTTCTTCCAGCCGAGTGTTGAACACTCGGTGATCTCGTAAAAGGCTTACCCGTGCCTAGTACCCTTCCGCTGTTGGGACCACGAGGATTCAAAACACCTGCTAGCTTTGCTCGTGCTAGTAGCGTGTTCTTATTTTACTGGTTGGCCTATATAAGTAGTTTACAAGGTCCAGTTTGTCCCGGTGCAAGGGCAGAACTGGGGTCTTCAGGTCCGCCCGAACGATCGTTTACTATCCTAGTAGACGTATTGTTGTGGGAACATCCTAACTACATTTGTAGCTAGAGTTCACGTGGGATTTCCAACACCACAACTGGTGCCGCGACCCGGGAACAGATTGTGACCATTGTGAACTGTTTGTATGGCCTTCCAGTTTACGAGCTACTAAGAGAAGAAGAACAAAAAAAAGACAAGAAACATGGCGAAAGGACAACCGACGGTACCAGTTACGCCTGCCAAGTCTGGCGGGGCTCGCAACGAGAGTTCAAGCCCGGCTGCGCGCTTTGCAGCCGGCACCGAGCTTTCAGTGAGCTTCGACGACGAAGCAGACATCGGTCCTGACGCCCACGATTATGAAGATTACGAAGACAAGACGCCGGCTCCAGAGCCAGGCGCAGCGACGCCGGAAACGGCCACGCTATCATCGGGGCTGAGCGGGACGACCAGGTCCCTTTCGAGGAACCTCGCCGACGAGCTCGATGATGTTGCGGGACCGGAACCGGCCTATGATGATTATGACGATGGGACCGAGGGTTCTAAGCCTTCGGTGGCGAGTGCAAAGCATTCAGCACTGCTGAAGGCACCTCGCCCACCTATCAACGGTGATACACCAGCCGCCAAGCGCGTTTTCGACCGCGTACAAGCGCTGATCCAGAATGATGAGTGGATGCAGCTGTTCAAGCCCATCCCCAAGAAAAAGGCCGACTGGCCTGCGCTTGCGCAGGAACTTCAATACCCAGTCAACTCGGTTTCGACTAGTCAAGTTGCCGAGGATTCAGTTTCGCTACTGTTGTCGCTGGGGTTCGAGAACGAGACGTACCCATCGACGATGTCGCTCCAGGATTGGAGTCCACATGAAGCCGGAGCTGCTCTCCAGAAATGGAAGAAGAAGCTTCGGAAGGCGTTTGGCGCCGTTGGCATCAATGCCGGAAAGCAGCCTGTGAGTCGACCGATGATTCAAGATGAAGATCCGTCTAAGATTCCACTGCCGCCGACGCCCCAACGACTCGTTCGTACTCCTCCGACCAAGCGTGGAGCTGAGCGTGGTGCCTTTGGCACTACCGAAGCTTCACCGTACTTTCAAGACTCGCACATGGTTACGCCACGTTCGGAGAGCCGTATGCAACGTATTTACGCAAGTAACGAGGGTT